AATGTACATTGCAGATTCACTTCAGATCACTTTGATTAAATATTAATGAACGTAAGCAATCTGCATTAAATCTTTTTGCTTAAATATAAGTGCAATTAAATTCTGTGCGATCTTATTTATAAAATAGATAGCAACTAATATATTTTTTATTTATTTATTAACATGTTAGAGTTAATATAAAATTATAGCTAGCTAAGGGTTAAGCATTGGCAGCAGAGACTTTCGGCTAATATATAAGTTTTTGTTTTGTTTTTTATTGTAAAAATTTCATAATAAATACTCTTAATTGACTCAAGGAATAAATTTAAATATAAAAGATTTGTAGACAATTTAAATGAAAGATTCTAAAATTTGGTCTATCTAAATCGAATTTAGTAAGAATTCCAATAGGAAGATCTCCGTAGTCGGCACCCGCTTCTGGTAAGCTGCAGTGCGGAGCACCCTGTATGTGCATGCATTTAGCAGTCGCATTCGCCATACAATGAATAACTGGGCGCTAGGCGTAACCACACCCGCCCCAACACACACACACACACACACACACGCTCTCTCTCTCACTCAATATCGCCCTCTTACTCTAGTCCTGCCCCCAGCCCCCTTGTGAGCTGGTACCCGTTTTGTGCGGCATTGTCGAGCCGTGTTGGCCGTGTTTTGTGCCTTTTGTTAACGCTCCTGTCGCGTCGCCTGCCAAAAAATTGTGCCATATGCCGGACAAGCAGACGAGCAGCAGTGGGCGAGCGAGAGAGCGACAGCTCGTAACGGAAAGAGACAGTACTCCTGAGAGAGACAAAGAGAGAAAGAGAGAGAGAGAGAGGGAGCGAGTGAGGGAAGGTAGCAGGCGTTGCTGCCACTGCTACTGCTGCTGCTGCTGCTGCTCCATGAGTGCGACTGGATGGTGAATTCCAGTGCGCAGGCGCTGGGCCGAGTCGCCACCGTTGCCACATTGGCTTCGTCAAGTTTGCTGGCTGCTGCCCGGATACAGACACAGCGGCGCTGTCCAATTCCAGCTGAACGAAACCGTCGCCGTCGACGTCGGCAGCGCTGGGGCGGCCAATCAGCGCGCCGCTGCTGGCATTACATAAAGCGGCCTGCCTGCCATTTTGTAGGGGTGGCCGCAACGGGCACGCCCACGGCTGCTGAATAATGAAAACATGTCCTCCCCATTTGAAAATAAACTCTGAAGTTAGCGAAACTCATCATAGAATTCTTTATCACAACACAACGCGCGCTTGTCTAGTTGTGAAATCTGTTCGCTTGCGTTTCGTTTTCAGTTTCGACAATAGTTGAGCGCTGCGACCGAGCGAGCGACCGACCGATCGACCGACCGACCGACACACCACATACACACACACCCACACACAGACACACAGACAGACAGACAGACAGGCAGGCAGGCAGGCAGGCAGGCAGGCAGGCTGGCATCAGCGAACAGCTGTGCGAGCGACGGCCAAGCAAAGGCGACCCAAAGCCAAACACCAAACAGCAAACAGCAAACACAAACAAAACACGCGCACCGCTTGAGCAAAGCGAAAGAGAAATACAAAGGAAATAACGGAAGAAAACAGCAACAATTTGAGCTTTAAGCGTGGTTTTCGCTGCAGCTCAGACTCACGCTCACGCTCAGGTTCAGGCGCGAAAGCTCTGAGCTCGCGTGTGTTGGCTCGGCTTTCGTTTGAGCTTCGCATCGCTTCGACTTGCTTACGTTGCAACGGTAAACAGTGCTTACGTAGCCATCGCTTAACTCAGACCCAAACGTAGCGTCGTGTCGTGTTGTCGTTGCTCGTTAACGTTTACGTTCCCGCTTACCGGTCATCGGTCATCGGTCATCGGTTATCGGCCAACAAATTACGCTCAATTAGAGTCAGTGTGCAGGCAATTTCCTAATTGATAATTGTTGATGTTGATGTTATTGTTGTTGCCCGCGCTCCCCTCCGGCTCCAGCAGCAGCAGCAGCAACGACGGCCAACTGATTTAGCCACTGGCATTTGGCGACGGCAATAACCAAAACCAAATAATAACATTTTTTTTTCTTGTGCTATTTTTTAACAGTTTTGTCGCGCGGCTCACGCTAAACTAAACCACAAATCAGTGCAAAACCAAACAGTGGCAAATTGTTCAAGTTCTAAGCAAAATATCAATAAATAAATCTCTACAAAGAAATTAATATAGAGAAAGAGAGAGAGAGAGAGAGAGAAAAAGTTGAATTGCCAAAAAGTCAACATTTTTGGTTGAAAGCGTTTGGTTGCTTTCAACCCATTTGTATATAT